GATATTTAAAATCCTTCCATTATTTTAGTGACGGGACTCTCTGGGGTGCCTCTCTGGGAAGTCTTGACATGTCCAAAAAAATTTTATCTCTTTTCTTCGTTTAATACGGGTTTTTCCGTTCGGACTTCTTCCGGGTAGTCATTTCTGATCCTGTCCTTCAAATTTGTTTTTAAAATTTTTCCTGAATTTTTTTTTTGCCCCTTTTAAATTCCCGGGTTTGCACTATAACACGTTTTTTTGTAAAAAAAAAAAATGCGTTGATATTCTTTGGGTCATTATCCATGATTTTCTGCAAAATTTGTACTTGTCCCAAAATTTGATTTGCTTCTTACGTCGTGTTCTATCTCTCTAAATTGTTGCTTCTTAATATAGGTACCCCCCTAGATACGTATTTTTTTCTTGCTCTTTTTTCTCGTTTTCTATGCATATTTTGATTTTTTTTTTTTTGCAAGGGTAACCTTCTTTTTTTCCCCATGAAATTTTCATGTGTTTACTTATGACTGAATGTAGTTAACTATCTTTCAGTGTCTTAACTGGTTCTCAAACTTTCACTGGCATAGGCAACACTGAAATAATGTTAGAATCGCTAATTATTCTTTGAATTGAAATAATTTTGGGTAAGGTTGTGGATATTTGTCTGTAGCGGGAAAATAAAAACCCTAACCTGCACAGTTCATGGCGACTGTACTATTCCTGCGGCACTTAATCTTCAGGCTCAAAGACACCCTCTAGCACCCTCCCCGCCTACACCGCAATAGTAATTACAAACAGTACTGGCAGTTATGTCGACGACTGTGACTTAGGCGTTGCGAACGCGCTTCGTAATGCCGGGGTGCCGGGTTCGATCCCTGTGTTGCGTTGGTTTCGACAGTGCTACCGAGAGCTGACCACTCAGAGAGCCATGGTGAACAACACAACGTAAAATTTGCCTAGAAAAACTACAACAGCTAAAAACCGACCGACCGACTTTCTACCCCACCAGGACATCACACAAGCGATAAACACCCGATGACACAAAGTGCCACCATGCGGATGAGGATCACCGTGGAGAGGTCCCAGAAACCGCGTTAAGACATTTGGCCCTATGTATGGCCTGCCTATATTGCGGCCCCTGGCAAAAGCCAGAGTGGGGCTTCAAATGACGAAAAATTTCGTCCTAAAAAGGACGAAACTGGGTATAATACAGTTTAAAAAAAAAATTTGCTGCGGTTAGTTCTGTAACGTCTTGTAAAGAGTACGCCTCTAACTAGCAAACTGGCACTACTGAAATCATGTTACAATTAAAAGTTAGTTTTATAACTATATGAATCTGAGTTCCTTGATTTGCTCAGAGTTTTAAAAATCTCTTGTCGCCTTGTCAATACGTACCATAATTTGTTCCCTTTTCTCTGTCTTCTATACTATACATTTATTAAATGTTTTCCCCCTTCGCCCCACAGAAAACAACGTGAATTTGATCAAAATCAGTACAATTCTTTTAACAACCAGAAGCTATAAACTAACACTGATGTATTTCGATTCTCTTCCTTCTCTTCCAGTTTGCCAGCATCTGTCCCGGGGCGACCTGGCCATATTCGGTGTGTCCAACGCCTCATCACTGGCAACCATCCAGTCATACACGGACACGTTCCAGGTACCGTTTGTTACCATCAGCATGGCACAGAACAGCAGCAGCAACAGCTCCTACCAGATCTACATGAGGCCTATGTACATCAACGCCCTGGTCGATGTCATGTTCTACTACGACTGGGAGAATGTCACCTTTGTCTACGACTCAGATGAAGGTAATAGGGCATGAGAGTCTCCCGTTTGTTACACGTCGTGTCCATCACCATCACTACGATTGTTTCCGTCATAGTTATCGCCACTAACATCATCAACATTGCCAGTATCACCATTGACATCATCAACATTGCCAGTATCACCATTGCCAGTATCACCATTGCCAGTATCACCATTGCTATTATCACCATTGCCAGTATCACCATTGTCAGTATCACCGTTGTCATTATCACCATTGCCAGGATCACCATTGTCAGTATCACCGTTGTCATTATCACCATTGCCAGGATCACCATTGTCACTATCACCATTGCCATTATCACCATGTCAGTATCACCGTTGTCATCATCACCATTGCCAGTATCACCATTACCAGTATCACTATTGCTAGCATCACCATTGCCAGTATTACCATTACCAGCATCACCCTTGCTAGCATCACCATTGCTAGCATCACTATTGCCAGTATCACCATTGCCAGGATCACCATTACCAGCATCGCAATTGCTAGCACCACCATTGCCAGTATCACCATTGCCAGTATCACCATTGAAAGAATAACTATTGCCAGTTTCACCATTACCATTATCACTATTGCTAGTATCACCATTGCCAACATCACCCTTGCCAGGATCACCATTGCCAGTATTACAACTGCCATTATCGTCATTGCCAGCATCACCACTGATATTATCATCATCCCACGATTATCAGCCATGACAGGTGGCATGTGCATGCATGTCTCTCCCGAGATAGCTTGCTGTGAAAGATGTTTAAAGGCAACAGGATCGACGTTATTCTGCGACTTTAAAAAAAAATCCCAACTGCTTAGTCTCTCACTCTTTCTCCCTTTCACTCTTTCTCCCTTTCACTCTTTCTCCCTTTCACTCTTTCTCCCTCTCCCTCTCTCTCTCTCTCTCTCTCTCTCTCTCTCTCTCTCTCTCTCTCTCTCCTTTCTCGCTTTCTCTCCACAGAGCGGTTAGTCCCCTTCTAAAGCATCACATAAAGCTTGAACTCTGTAGCTCTGACGACGAACCCCATGGATTACTGAAACACATGCTCTGGTGAACCAATGACAGAGACAGAACTCAAAGTGACTACCTCTAGAGTGTTAGACAAACTGGTCAACTACTTGGCGACTGAGGCTTGGATTTTTTTGAATATTTGTATGCAGACATTTTTACAGCGGCTGGCCTAGGGTTTGCAACGTAGGGCTCTTGTGCGGGAGACCCGGATTCGACCCCCAGTAAAGTGATCTAGTTTTTCTGTCGGAGTCCGTGAAAGTGACTTCTTACGCACAGTACTTTTAATATTGTCGTCGTTTTTAAGAGTCCATGATTGTGACTTCTTTTGCGCAATATTTTTAACATTGTTGTTGTTTCTGACAGTCAGTGAAAATGACTTCTTACGCACAATACTTTTAAAATGTTGTCGTTTCTGAGGGTCCGTGGAAGTGACTTCTTGCACACAGTACTTTTACCTTTTTAAAATGAAAAGCTCTGTGTATACGTAAATGGAAAGTACTATAGCATGTGAGTGGAGTGTACTGTAAGCATGGTAAAAGAACAGTATTCTGTGTACACGTGAAAATACAGTGCTGTAGATGGGAGAATGGAAAGAACTGTTTGCATGTAAATTTAAACCACTGTATAGATGCAGATTAACAGTCCTTATGGGCGACAGTGAATGGAAAGTACTCTATGCACTTAAATGGAAAGTGCCCTATATATGTGAAAGAAAATTGATGCAAACATGTGAATGGAGATCCCTGTACACACACGAAATAAAATTACTGTACACATGGTGGTACTTTTCAGCTTTCTCACCCCATCTTGTCGGCTGCAATATTTGGTAGGGAATTCCTAAGCAGTTCCCTGGAAGATCCTATAGTATAAGGGGGTTAGGGTTAGTCTCCTCTTCTTCTTTCCTTCGCCCGAAATAGATTATCTATACCTGCAATGTCGTCTCTAGTATGAACTTCGCTGTATTCTGTAATTCACTTAGCTACCTGTAAAGTTCCACTTGAACCGGTTTTGGCTATCCTCCGAAAAAAGAGCACAAAAGATGGCGGCCAATGGCGGCAAAAAACAGGGTCTTAGTCACGTGTCAATTGCGCACTTCCGGCGACCTAATTTGCGGTTTTCCGGCGACTACCGCCATCGCCGAGAGTATCCCGCACGCCGCTCACGAGCAAAGCTGCAGGAGTTGCGGAAGCTGCTGCTCGTGAGTCCCAGCCATCTAGTTTGACACGTTACTGAGGCTCTGTTAGGATGTTTTTGCGGCTGCCATCTTTTGTACCCGTTATTCGGGTGATAGCCCCGGTTTTTATCTTGGCCAGATCTTAGGTAGTGCAGTGAGAACTGGAAATATTCTGGAGCGGGTCCTGAAAAGGGTCATCTTGCGGTGTCGACGGTAAAAGGCACTCAAAAAGCCCTCTAGGAATACATACTCGTCGGTCAGAGTTAGATGCAGAAATGCTGGCAGGTCAAGGACATTCACACCGATGGCGAAGTCAAGAAGAAAGAACACCGCTTGTAAAGAGGGCAAAGTAATAGCGAAGAACGAACGACAGTAAACACACACACACACTTGAAATGACGACGCAATAAACGATAAACACGCTGAAAACAACCAACACATGACATTCCTAAAACAGCAGTTTTAGTGTCTTAGGGTTACTGTTAAATTAACACGGACTAGCACTGACCCTGACCACCCTATACTATAGAATCTTCCGGGGAGCTACTTGGGAATTCCCTACCAAATCTCATAGTCGAGGAAATGGGGTGAAAAAGCTGTAAATAACCCACATGTGAATGGAAAGTACTGTACACATGTGAATGGAAAGTACTGTATACATGCGAACGGAAAATACCGAACACATGTGAATGGAAAGTACTGTATACATGTGAACGGAAAATACCGAACACATGTGAATGGAAAGTACTGTATACATGTGAACGGAAAATACCGAACACATGTGAATGGAAAGTACTGTACACATGTGAATGGGAAGTATTGTACACATGTGAATATAAAGTACAGTATACATGTAAACGGAAAGTACTGTACACATGTGAACGGATAGTACTGTACACATGTGAACGGAAAGTTCAGGACGCCTGTTAATGTGCTGCTGTGTCTGCAGGTCTAGTTCGCCTACAGCAGCTCTTTCAGGCCACCAACAAGTACGACAAACTGATCATCACCATCGACACCAAGCGCATCACCTCCGTGGACAACGGGTACATGATGCTCTGTGAGCTGCACGAGATCAACGTCAAGTCAGACTATAGGGTCCTCCTGGACATCAGCACGGAGAAGGCAGAGCAGATCATTCTCAGAGTGGTAAGGGTAGTTGTCCTGTATGTGAATGTGTGTGAGTGTGGGTCTGTGTGAGTGTGTGTGTGTGCGTGTGTGTGTGGGTGTGCATGTGAGGGTGTGTGTGTGTACGTGTGTGTGTTTGTGTGTGTGGGTGTGTGTGTGTGTGTACGTGTGTGTACGTGTGTGTGTGTGGGTGTGCATGTGAGGGTGTGTGTGTGTGTGTACGTGTGTGTGTGTGTGTGTGGGTGTGCATGTGAGGGTGTGCATGTGAGGGTGTGTGTGTGTGTACGTGCGTGCTTATTCGCGCCTGTGAGGGCGTGTGTAAAGTGTGGATATTTTCAGGGAGAAGGATAAGAAAATCAGTCTTAAAGAGGTAAGGTTAGTCGTGTGCGCCCGCGCGCGCGCGTGTGTGTGTGTGTGTGTGTGTTTGTATGTGTGTGTGTGGGTATATGTGTGTGTGTGGGTATATGTGTGGTTTGTTTGTATGGAAGGGTGTGTGTGGATATCGTCCAGTTGGACGTATTTTAGAAGGTTACAGTTTAAAGTCGAAAACATATGTCTTGTGATCAGGCAGTTAGCCGTTCGAGCGGCACCACGTCAAAATCTTTCGTGTAATTTACAGTCTAGTTGCATGGCCTGGAGGTGTGTCGGCACACAAACTTATACATGCTGCAAGAGATCTTGGATTATAGAGATGCATGATCGCCCAAGCCAGTCGGCAAGGCACCTGATGATGATGATGAATTTATAAAACGTACGTAAATTCAGGACCGCGTCGTACTATGATACAGAGAGGAGCCGCACTAGGCGGCACCGTAGAAAAAAAAGGGGGGGGGGGGGGGTGAAGGGGCTATAACCAGGAAAGAAAAATACGTTTTGAACTTTTGATCTGACGGCGTCAAGCTTTAAACACCGGCATTTTGAAGGCTTGTATTGTACACGGCCTTGTCTATTTATATACAGACGGACCTGTATTATACTAAGAAAATCTACCACACGGAACTGCATAAATATGTTGCTAAACTAAGAAATATATTTCTGACGCGCTGCTTCAAGACATAGACTGTCCTAGAAAAACATCAAAGCCCAGTGACAACATTAAAGTTCTTCAGTTTCGTCCTTTCTAGGACGAAATTCTTTGTTATTTGAAGCCCCATCCTGGCTTTTGACAGGGGCCGCAATATAGGCAGGCCATAAATATGGACAATTGTCTAAACGCGGTTTCTGGGACCACTCCACGGCGATCCTCATCCACATGGTGGCACTTTGTGTCATCGGGTGTTTTATCGCTTGTGTGATGTCCTAGTGGGGTAGAAAGTCAGGCAGTCAGTGAAAACATTCGTACATGCAATCAGTTAGCTGTGCGCATAATTGCAAATACTTCCGTCCGTTTTAGGATGACATTTTTCATTATTTGAAGCACCACCCTGGCTATTGCCAGGGGCCGCAATATAGCCTGGCCATAAATATGGCCTAAAGGATGAACGCAGTTGCTGGGACCTCTCCGCGGTGATCCTCACCCGCATGGTGGTACTTTTTGTCATCGGGTGTTTTATAGCTTGTGTGAAGTCCTGGTTGGGTAGAAAGTCTGTCAGTGACAAAATGTGAGCTGAGATGTATAAGAAATTGGACGGGGGAGGAAAAAAAAAACACAGAAGAAGAGGCAAACACATATGGAGAATTTAGAACAATGGTCGGCACTCTACTGGTAACTGATTTAAAAGAACAACAAATAATCAAATGGTTTGGTCATTTGGTCAGAGTGGAACAAAAGCAGCCAGCAATTAGAGCGTACTGTCGGAAAACAGCAGGCTACAAGGCAAGAGGCCGACCAAGAAAGATTTGGACAGAGGGAGTAAAAGAGACACCACAGCAACACAGTATCACTTAATTAAATCAAACTATGCAACCAGCGAAAAACAGAAAACTACATCTCACTGCTCTCTGCGACGCTTTATGACGTAAGCAGTAAGACCCACACAAAAAACCCCACCACCCCCCCCCCCCCTTTTTTCCCCTTTTTTTAACAGGAAAGTTCTAAAGTGGACGATGGTGGTGACAGACAATTTAGTTCTGAAAACGAACCAGTTACGTGAAAAAAAACCCGGGTTTTAAGCTCTTCCTTTTTAAGTGAAGCAGGTGGTTTTTCAATTTTCCCAGGGACATCTAACTGACAAGGACATTAGGTTACAACAATGTGTGCCAAGGGCATTCAGATAACCCTGATAGCGAAACAAATCAGACAACAGCAATAATTTAATTGTTTCTCTGACGTCAGCACATCTGCGGGCGTAGGCTTCAACCCACTGGCGTCAGAGTGGCCCGTGGCAGACTGTGTTTTTCTGTGGCTGGCTTGCAAATAAGTCATGCTAGCAAAATCCTCTGTCGAATTATAACGATGATTGAAGGGAAATTACAATAGGGACTACACAAAGCACAGCTAGGTTTAATTAAGACAGAGCAAAGAAACTAAGAATCCTCTCATAGCTTTAATATGTGACCAATTTTTGAAATATTTAGAGAATACAAAATCGATCTGCATGCTAGTTTTTATCGATTACAATAAGGTCTTCAATTGCGTTTAACATCAGAAATTGTTGAGTGTCATGAGAAGTATGGGGTTTCCAGTGCATCTGGTATATTTAATTGAAATTTACATTTTTAACAACAAGCAACCATCAGAGGAGCTGGAGAAACATCAAAGTGGTTCTAGCTGCAAAATGAAGTGATGCAGGGGTATTTTTCTTACCATGCCATTCAATATATACGCATAAAACATTACGAAAAATGTCAAAAATGATCAGAGTTGTGATGTGTTATTATCTGCTCAAATTTGAAGGCTATGCGGACAACACAGACCTTCTTTCAAGAAAAGGAATAGCAGATAATAAGACTAAAAGTCTAAAAACACAGTGAAAATCAAAACCTATTCCTTAAAAAAAAACAAAAAAAAAACATGTCACCCAAGAATAAAAAGAAATAAGAAAAACAAATCTCATGAAACGTTGAATATCTAGAAACAGCAATGGAGATAAAACAGCATTTGAAGTCTGTGGTTATGCAGCAGCAAGGAAATCAATGCCAAAATACTCAGGCCATGCAACTTCCTTGTAGCAAATACGTATATGTGTCGTGGATTATATCGCAATGATTAAGGAAGAAAACAGATGCTTTTGAGCTGAAATGGTGTAGAATACTCGGTAAAGTAGTATTTTATATGGCAGGAGCCCAAATACACATCCTGAGTTTCATAGTTCATAGCTCATGCACTAGTCTAAGGTTCGACACTCCCCACCCCTACTGCGTCCCTCATCATCCTAAAAAAAGTGGTAATCTAGTCAGTAAAACAGATAAATTTGAAGATCGGAAGTTGTTGCGGAGAAACTCCCCAATAACAGGAAGATGTGAACATTAAGTGTTGACCAACAAAACACGATAATCGCATACGTTTTGGTTGGCTAGTTCATATTCAATGCAACCCCGTTAGTCTGCTAGTAGTATACGCTGTTTTGTATGTACTCATCCACATCACTGAAAGTTCATATTCCATACAGCCCCGTGTTTTGTATGTACTCATCTACATCACTGATAGTTCATATTCCATACAGCCCCGTGTTTTGTATGTACTCATCTACATCACTGCTAGTTCATATTCCATACAGCCCCGTGTTTTGTATGTATTCATCTACATCACTGCTAGTTCATATTCCATACAGCCCGTGTTTTGTATGTACTCATCTACATCACTGCTAGTTCATATTCCATACAGCCCCGTGTTTTGTATGTACTCATCTACATCACTGATAGTTCATATTCTATGCAGCCCCGTGTGTCTACCAGTAGTATACGCTGTTTTGTATGTGTTTATCTACATCACTGCTAAATCACATTCCAAATAACCTGGTCTGTCCCACAGATGAACAACGCCACCATCAACAATGCCAGGTTCCACTTTCTGCTGGGAGATCTGGTAAGTTAGTTGGATCAGGAGATTCTCGTCTGTTAAATATTGTGTGTGTGTGTGTGTGTGTGTGTGTGTGTGTGTGTGTGTGTGTGTGTGTGTGTGTACACTTTACATTTGTTGGTTTTGACTCTTGTTGTTGTTGTTATCTGAGTTTCGTTCGATAAGGGACCTAAAGGTCGTGTGTTCAAATTCTCATCGAGTCTATTTTTCTTCTTCAAACATGACCTTTGCTCCCATATCTTCCATATCTCCCATATCTCTCATATCTCTCATATCTCCCATATCTCTCATATCTTCTTTATCTTCCATATCTCCTATATCTCCTATATCTCCCATATCTCTCATATCTCTCATATCTCTCATATCTCCCATATCTCTCATATCTCCCATATCTCCCATATCTCCCATATCTTCTTTATCTTCCATATCTCTTATATCTCCCATATCTCCCATATCTCCCATATCTCCCATATCTCTCATATCTCCCATATCTCTCATATCTCCCATATCTCCAATATCTTTTATATCTCTCATATCTCCCATATCTCCCATATCTCTCATATCCCCCATTTCTTCCATATCTCCCATATCTCCTATATCTCCCATATGGTAACCAGATGAAACCTGGGAACGAAAAGGCTGCCGTGACATTGACGTCCTCACCCGCTGAGTGCCGACTGCTCTATACAATATAGATCTAGCACTATACACCCAGTCCGCGTTTTCAATTAGAAGACAGGTAAAAATAATCAGAAGAATATGAGAATACGAGGGAGGACATGATTGGTATCAGTCAGGGAACCACAAAGAGCAATGTTATACAGAATGTTGAATACTGAATAAGGAATCTACAGCACATCACTCGGGACACTCCCATAAGTGCTTAGTCCCCATCTTCAACAGCAAGCGAAAAGTTCCAGTTCCAGGGGTACCAGTAACCGTCTGATTGTATATCCGTCTCATCCTTCCCCTGAGTTTTGAGCGACGGCCAGATCCCCTGGTAACTCCTCGCAGTGCAATTCCCTTTAGACCCTTTAGAGCATCCACACTGTCAGTGTTATACAAATACAGCTTTAACAGATCCAGAGGTCGACAGCACAGAATACGGACCGCAGGAATAGCAGATACTCTGACAATTAATTTTAAGGAAGCTAACAGAAGGGCCAGTTCCAGTGATCTTTTTCTGCCCTGACGCCTAGAAGCATTCTAGGAGTATAGAAAAGAAGAAGAAGAAGAAGAAGAAGAAGAAGAAGAAGAAGAAGAAGAAGAAGAAGAAGAAGAAGAAGAAGAAGAAGAAGAAGAAGAAGAAGAAGAAGAAGAAGAAGAAGAGGGAGGAGGAGGTGGTGGGGAAAGAAAAACACGAAGATGCAGAAGGATTTGCGGTTTTAAGGTGGTAACAATGAGCTTGATGTTAATGCGGATAATAATGAGCCATTCTGCTGCTGAAAATGTTGACGGTAAGAATGACGCTAATGAGGACGACGGTGTGGGAACAATGATATAATCATTACGCTGATTCTTTGTCGTGGCGCGGATAGTCTCTTTCGATTTCTTCTTCGTTCGGTCCTTCTGTTAGAGACTTATATCAGGATGTCGGCACCCTATATGAAAGCCATCCTGCAGCCCAATCTCCCTGTATTCATACAGTTGTGTCTTCATTGAGGTTGTAACAGGCCAGATGCGTTTCTGTTAGCAGCGTACAATTGACAGCAGTTCATTACATACCCAGCATTTTCTGGTGCCAAGTTTGATTTGATGATAATGTTAATGGCGAAGTACATTTATGTCGTACATTTGTTTGTACTCTACATTTCTTGTTATTCTCTATTATTTACTTTCCTTTCAATTATAAAGAGTCGCCGTGGTATAGCAGCTAGATCTTCGATTGTGGGCCCGAAGGTTGTGGATTCAAATCCCAGTCAAGCCATAATATTTGTAAGAAGGAAAAGGAACAACCTACTCCCAGTTCGACCCAGCCTAAAATAGGTGTCACGTAAAATTAGGGGAAGTCAAGGCGGTCTGCGTGATGTGGACCACATTACCCACCGAGTGCCCATTGGTTTACAAAATATAATCCCAATAACCCTAAAGGGCAATAAATTGCTCTCATTTAATGTCAGAAAGAGGGCGCTAATGTTTGACTAAAACCGGTTCTGTTGTATGGCAGCGAATCTTGGAATGTCACTGAACAAATTAGGAAGAATTTCGAAGTAACAGAGATGTGGTTTCTGAGACGAATGTTACGAATACATTGGACGGCCAGAGTAACTAACAACGATTGCTTGAAAGAGGCTAATGAAAGTAGATACAACGATAAGAAAAAGACAAACACTGTTCTTTGACAACATAATGAGAAGAGAGACATTGGAGAACATCGTGCCAACTGGAAAGATCATTAGAAAAAGGGGTAGAGGCGGACACCGAGAGATGGGGCTAGATGTAAAAAATAAATTTATAGTCAGGTCAAAGCCGTCATCACGATTATCATTTCACGCTGTTCTTATCATAAATTGATTTTGTGACAAGTGGATTTCTCGTAAAGGTGTGAGTATATTCATTCCTTAACCGCTTCATATTTGGTAGAATAAAAGTTTTTAAAGACAAGGAAAAAAAAAGAGAAGCTGAAACGATGACATGGAGGGATATCATCAAGAGAGCTGTTCCAGTCAACCAGGGATCGTGATCTGTGGAGACACATGAGCAGGGCACATGATAGTGATGATTAAGAACCCTGAAGGCATGATACTAGTCCTTTACTTGACTTTGATAGTGATGATAATGAACTATTTCAGGGCATGCTTGAAATGAACCTCACCAACTTCAAGATCGGAGGCATGAACATCACGGGGTTCCAGATCGTGGACCCTTACAACCAGACAGCTGAAGCCTTCATCTCCGCATGGTCCACCCTCGATCCAGTCTACTGGCCAGGTGCCGGCAGCAAACATCTCAGTGTAAGTGCATCCAGTCATTGACTTGTGTTAACGTATGGCGCATGTATCAGTCTGACTGTTAAGTTCATAGTGTAGGTGCATTCACTCATAGACTTGTGTTAACGTATGGTGCATGTATCAGTCTGACTGTTAAGTTCATAGTGTACGTGCACTCAGTCATAGACTTGTGTTAACGTATGATGCATGTTTCAGTCTGACTGTCTCAAGTTCATAGTATAGGTGCATCCAGTCATATACTTGTGTTAACGTATGACGCATGTATCAGTCTGACTGTCAGTTCATAGTTTAGGTTCACCCAGTCATAGACTTGTGTTAACGTATAGTGGTGTATCAATCCCACTGTCTCAAGTTCATAGTGTAGGTGCACTCAGTCTTAGACTTGTGTTAACGTATGGCGCATATATCAGTCTGACTGTCAGTTCATAGTATAGGTGCATCCACTCATAGACTTGTGTTAACGTATAGTTGTGTATCGATCCCACTGTCTCAGGTTCATTGTAAAAGTGCACCTAGTCATAGAATTGTGTTAAAGTTTGGTGCATGTATCAGTCTCACTGTCTCAAGTACATTGTGCAAGTTGACCCAGCCATACACTTGTGATATCGTATAGTGCGAATATCAGTCTCACTGTCTCAAGTTCATTGTGGAAGTGCACTCAGTCATAGACTCGTGTTAACGCAAAGTGCAGTGTATCAGTTTCACGGTCTCAAGTTTATTGTTTAAGTGCACATAGTTACAGATTTGTGTAAACATATATTGCATGTAAAGGATTTACTAGCCGACGTCAGGCGGTAGCTAAGTAAACATTACACAAGAACATAGCGAACATCCAGAAAAGAAAAGATTAATCAAAACTGTAAAGTGCCTCAACTCTTCAGAATAATAGAAGGAAAGTAGACAGAGTTGTAAGGTACTTCTACACCCCAGACTACTAGATGAGACAGTTAATGAGTTATAACTGTTAAATACACTCCTCTACTATTCATCCATACCCCGCCTCTCTGTCTTTCTCCATCATTGGCTCTCGCTAACTAGCTCTCTTTATACTCTTCTGTCTCGTACACTCTTAATTAATTTTCCTCCACACGCAGTCTTTGAATTCCCTCTATCCCACACCCTTTCCACGACATTCCCCAACACAGTGGACCCCTGACCCAATGCCCCCACGGCCTGACCGAGGCAGCAAATCAATAGCTGTGTGATGAAGCGCCTCTGTCGCCGCTGACATATATCTCTGACATATACACGTATCCTGTCTCCATCTATCTACATTTTTCTTCCCGAGGGCTTGGTTTTTAAACTATGTGTCACCCTTTCTCCCTTTATTTCACACTCATCTCTTCACTCTATCTCTTGTGTCCGTGTCGACCAGAGGGTTGCTGTCTAAGTTTGTATGTTGTGCCCGTGCGTAAGCGCCTGAAACTGTGCGATGTGTGTGTGTGCGCGTGTGTGTGAGTGTGTTGTGTGTGTGTGTGCGTGTGTGTGTCCCAAATACCCTGGAGTCCAATTATTTTGCGTAACATTCGGCTACATGTGAGATAAAACTAATCCCCTAGCAAATATTGCCACATATTCTAGATCACGGGCGTGTGTGATAAAAGTAGTAGTTATATATGTGCATATTAGGTATGCTGGTGCTGTGAGCAAAAGAGCAGGAGCATGCAGCTTGCCGCAACCTGCTGTCCCCACCTGCTGCTGACTGGTGCTGCCTGCGATGGCCTGCTGCGTCATGTCATATGTTTTCAAAAGAGGGGAAGTAATTTGGAAATATGATGCTAAATATTTATTTATTTTTTAAAGAAACAAGTTTTGATGTCAAGTCGTCGTGCTTGTGTGTCAGATGAGAGGCTGAGGGGTCATCGAGGAGTCACAAAATATGATACTTTGCGCTAATTATGGTATCAAGGTTTGCGGGTGTGGTCTTTCGGGAGTAGGGGTAGGTGGCTTCTGGTTTTAGTGTAACAGGCAGACGTTATCACTTGTTTGTTAGAAAGAATGATATTGCGCAAAGATAAGATGTACAGGGATCAGCAAGTTTTGGTAACCTTCTTTTCCCGCCAAAACTAACTATTGACGTCATCACTTGTTCGTCGGGAGGTAACATATTGCGCATTAGTTGATGGGACGAAAATCGACAGGTCTTAGCAACAATATTTTGTAAATAGTATTTGACGTCATTGTTGAGGTGCTCTTTCAAAGAGAAAGTAGTAGTACTTGCTTTCAATGAGTCTGTATGACGTCAACTGTCAATTTAGTTACTATATTTGCCTAGAATAAGATGATGAGATCTGATGCAGTCGATATACGGAATCTACATAGGTTGTCCCGATGGATCTGCCGAAGAGATTCTTGATGCATGCGGGGAATTCTGCTTAAATTATAAAGCCGAAATAATTGCACTGGAAACAACAGTATACCACCTAAAGACTGTAATGGATGTTTACCCAAAAAGGCCCAAATTATTGTAATCTTCACTGTTTCACTGTCTGCCCTTCAAGGTCTGGAGGGCAGTGAACACTGCAGAACTGACATAGCCAAGATAATCCTGGATGCTGATCAGCTCATTACTTTATACATCATCAGAATATTTTTTTTTTTTTTTAATCGATCACCGGCTGTGAATTCCAGTGGAAGGTCCCGGTTAATCGTCCGCTTGGACTTTTGGCTTTCACCTGGACCTGATTTTTGCGTGTACAACCGTTTTTCATTTCCCTGCCTCATGGGCAGCTGTACTCCGACTTCGAAGGAAGACGTCAGGCCACAGGGTGACTGTGGCCATTGTTTTGTGTGGGTCGAGACGTTGCCTGATTTGTGTGGTGTCCACTTTGTCTCCTTCGCCGCAGGTATTGCCCCCGGAGTACCCCTTTGGGGCAGCCCCCTGTGGAACAGTTAGCCCTCAAGGGAAGGCAGGGGCAGATCATGGGCATTCCCCGCCATCCAAGGAGGCTTCCATGCATGCAGAGCCGGCACATGGCGCTCTGGTTCTGGGCTCACCCAAGGAATCGTCACGTCCTGCACATGCCTGCTTAACCTCACAACCGTATCAGGCCTCCCGCTCGACAGGGGCTGCGCCCTCTGGAAGTCAGCGGGGAGCAGCCCGTGGGTTTTGGACTTTTGTGACCACACAGATAGGTACATTCTTTTTTTTTCTTCGCACGTTAGATTTCTTTGACGAGCCGTTAGCCCGACAGAATTTTACATCCTGCATCAGGCATATCGTTATCAGTTTTGTCCCAACACTCGGGCGAGTGGGGTCTTTGGGTGTGGACATTCGGTCTTTTTCAGTTCAATACAAATTTTGATGGTCAGATTTTGATCCGTATGATCTAGTTTTGTCGGACATTTCGGCTTAGCCATCCGATGGATGGTTACTGTTGTGGTGTACCTCAGCGCGGTGACGACGACACTGAGGGTTAACCGAGGATGTACATGAATGGCCATCCTATGGATGGTTGCTGTTGTGGTGTACCTCAGCGCGGTGACGACGACACTGAGGGTTAACCGAGGATGTACAAGGATGGCCAGCCTATGGATGGTTGCTGTTGTGGTGTACCTCAGCGCGGTGACGACGACACTGAGGGTTAACAGAGGATGTGCAGTGAACTATGTTCTCTTTACTCCGCAGTCTTTTAACCAAGGGTTGTAATTTTGGCTGTACGTTTGGCAAACCTACTCATGTTCCTAATGAGTTTTGATAACATTTTTCACCCAAGCGTTTGGGGGGCGGGCTGATGAGAGCCACAAGGACACATCACCTCTGGGGGCCGCCGAACTCCGAGATCCCCTGACAGCTCTGTTAATGCTCATTTGAGACATTATCCGTGGCGCACGACGAGGACGTGCTGTAGGGGTCTTGCGTGAAGTTCCGTACAACCAGGATAGTGAAGGACTGGCGCCCGAGTGACGTACGGAGTATCTCCTTATACACATCATGTTGGACTTAACTTCCCCTCACGCCTGTGACATAAATCACCGCGCCACACCAGAATAGTGAAGCAGTATATTCCAGGCCACTCAGGCACACCAGGTAAGGACTGAGCTAACAAGTGGTACAGAAAGGAGCTACACAAGAACAATCTCCTACAGCGACAACCCTACAGACAGCAAAAACACTTTTAAGAGCTATAAATAAAGAGAATTGGTTAAACAGATGGGCCATAGGAGAAAGGTTTATAGACATATGGTTGGCCCTGATTCTAATGTCAGTATTAACCATCTAACAAAAAAGGGACCAGGCCACCATCTTCAGACTCAGAACACAGCATACTCCACTCAATGGACATCTAAACAGAATACAGCCACAACACTCCCCAGAGTGCCAGCTATGTAACTACTCCTACGAAACTGTTGAACGCCATCTCTTTGGGTGCCCAAAACTCAGTGAGACTAGAAGAATGCTTCTCCCTCCGAGACTAGACAAGTAAAACACCTTGTACGGTGGGGGGGGGGGGAGGGGGCGGGGGGTCGGAAGGACAGCTTGTGAAAACATTTAAATTTTACTACATAGCACTGGGCCAAAGGGCGAAATCTCATGCGCCCCTGGATCTACAACAACAACAACAACAACAACAACAACAACAACAACAACAACAACAACAGCAACAACAACAACAACAGCAACAACAACTCGCAATTCAGCTCAGTTTTTCTGGGAGATCTGTCCTAATCTAACACATCGCTTAGGTAGCTGGGGCAAAGAATCGAAAGTCAACTTCGTCTGAGACTTTGCCAACCTCAGAGTCTTTCTGCCAGGGGATATAACAACGAGTCCTGTTCCTACTGAGAATTGAAGCCTGATTATTATTTTGATAATCAAACCTGTTAAAACTAGCATACTCTCGTCTCAGTAACAGAGGCAAACCTAGTTTAAACTTGTTTTTCTACAGGTTTCTGTGCCCCAGTGGAAGCACATAGACCTTGATCTCTGTTTTGCTTGTTGTCATTTTCTGTTTAACAGATCATCGGTGTATTAAATAAGTATCAATCTAAGGTGGTGAAATCCTCAGAGAAATATCACAATTTAATGGAGAATAGACATCTTCCTTGCAACATATTATGTCAGTATTTGGTCTCTCTCTCTCTCTCTCTCTCTCTCTCTCTCTCTCTCTCTCTCTCTCTCTCTCTGTCTGTTTGTCTCTCTCTCTCTCTCTCTCTCTCTCTCTCTCTCTCTCTCTCTCTCTCTTCTCTCAACCCCTAATCTCCACTTTGAAAGACTCTACCAGTGTCAGCGATATATATGTCCTTCAACAAATTATGTCATTGTGTACCCCCCCCCCTCCCACCGCCCCCATCCCGATATTCTCAGAGCCTCTCTGAAGGTACACGTCTAGTTTGAATCTAAACAAACTAGGCTATATTGAGATTTAACTATAAGGAATAATACGAGAGTAAGACACTTGGATCGACTTCGAGCCAGACAAATAGGTGCAATGTTTTCAAGCTAAACTATTGTAGGACACAACTGTTAGTGGAATATGAGGACAATGAAAAGTAGAAGACAAGAAATGATTAAAGTGGTGGGGGAAAAAAACAAGACTATCATACATGTATGCAGACAGACTGATGTAAAAGAAAGAAGACAGAAGCAAGACCTACTAACAGATTCAAACTCCCACCCAGTACGAGGCAGCCCTAGCTGCTGACGGCGTGCGACTGTTCACCAGGGCTGTGGGCTCCGTCCTGAACAAAGAGCCCAGTTTCCTGCGGCGGACCCGCCTCAGCAAGACCATGAAGTGTACGGACGACTCCGATGTTCAAAGCGGCTACGGGAACAAGTTACTCAGCGAAATGAAAAAGGTAAGTTCTGGTATGTCTACTCCTTTCCTACTAAACAAGTCTACGCGTCCCAGACCCGTTCTACAACACACAACTAGGTATATACCACGCAATCATAGGCGCCGGAACCTAGAGCTCTGGTCCCCAAAGGACCCATCCCCGCCTCCTCCCCTTTATTCCCCAGTCAAAAAAATAATAATAATGTTGCAAGGAAACCTGCTTTCCCACGTACAATAGTACTACAATTGTCGTCAACGCGAATATTCGTATTTTCAACAACAACAAAAACAAAACAAAAACAAAAATGTTTTTTCCCCCGTTGAAATGTGTTTAAAATTTGCCCGAAAGGTCAATATTCGCCTATCTTTCGACGAGGCCGGCAATTCATTAGACAAGAAACAAAAAAGTTATTGACGGGCTCCAAGTGTTGAAATTAAGTAATGACTGTTCACTTGGGCAAAAATTCAGTTTGTCATCGAGAAATGATACCCAGTCATCGCTTCAGTTAATAATAAATTTATTTAACGACGATGTATTTGAATACTTTCAGAAAACTTTGAAAACAAACAACACTGGACTTCTTTTTTTTTTTTTTTAAATTGTTCTAGTGAATCGTTTGAAAATGATGAATTATCATGGCACGAATTACCAGAAATGACATTACCTAATGTCAAATTGGAATTGGACTCCCCTTTCAAACAATAGGCATAGCTGTTTCATTCAAAATACAAACTTTTTTAAAGAATGTAATGTATTTATTTATGAAATTTACAGTATATTTACGTCCTCATGGTGAGCAAATCTCTGTCATAATGATAAAGCAATATTAAGGAGAATGATTCGTTTACAAGTAAAATATATTTGCGATGATTTCTGAGATCAGTTTTCGGGGGAAATGCATGGGTAAGTTCATGAACTCGTTTGACACTCGTCCTTTTTAGTATTGGCTCAGCCGCCATAACATTATTTAGTGGGGCAGGAGGGTGAGTGAGTGGACTCAACTCTGATGTAATGTTATTACATTTGGCGTCACTTCGCATTGGGCATTTCCATTCGCGCTCAGTCCTCCGATGCAGCAGCCACACAAAACTACCTTTACACATTGTTCCCATGAGAGGTTGGTTATAGTGTCTCTGTTCTTGGCCTCAGTGACGGCATGTACCTGCTTTACCTAGGTCACGTAATCGTCTTAGCTCGGATACAAATTTCGGCTGGGCTGTTGACGGGAACTCAAGGTGTTTACGCCCCTCTGTTCAGGCAGCCATGTTCTAGACTGAACTAACTGACCGTGTAGACATTTGTGGACAGACTCCAAGTGTTCCACTTGTGGACCCGCTGACTTTCTGTCTTACACCGTGAATATAGCCTCACACAATGGCCGCATTGGCAGATGACGTGCCTGGGACCTGGGGCATTTAGTACATCAGTTATCCCATAATTTGTTAATGACTTCTAGCAGAGTTGTTTTCTCGTGAGTGATTCTGTTGGTTCTTTCTTTCTTTCTTTCTCTCTTTCTTTCTTTCTTTCTTTCTTTCTTTCTTTCTTTCTTTCTTTCTTTCTTTCTTTCTTTCTTTCTTTCTTTCTTTCTTTCTTTCTTTCGGTTGATCTTTCTTTCTTCTGTTCTGTCATTCTTTTATTCTTCTGTTCTGTCATTCATTCTTTCTTCTGTTCTTTCTTTCCTGCTTTCTCTCTTTCTTTCTTTCTTTCTTTCTTTCTTTCTTTCTTTCTTTCTTTCTTTCTTTCTTTCTTTCTTTCTTTCTTTCTTTCTTTCTTTCTTTCTTTCTTTCGGTTGCTCTTTCTTTCTTCTGTTCTGTCATTTTTTTTATTCTTCTGTTCTGTCATTCTTTCTTTCTTCTGTTCTTTCTTTCTTTCTTTCTTTCTTTCTTTCTTTCTTTCTTTCTTTCTTTCTTTCTTTCTTTCTTTCTTTCTTTCTTTCTTTCTTTCTTTCTTTCTTTCTTTCTTTCTTTCTTTCTTTCTTTCTTTCTTTCTTTCTTTCTTTCTTTCTTTTTCTTTCTTTCTTTCTTTCTTTCTTTCTTTCTTTCTTTCTTTCTTTCTTTCTTTCTTTCTTTCTTTCTTTCTTTCTTTCTTTCTTTCTTTCTTTCTTTCTTTCTTTCTTTCTTTTCTTTCTTTCTTTCTTTCTTTTGCTCTTTCTTTCTTTTGCTCTTTCTTTGTTTTGCTATGTAATTCTTTCTTTTCATCATTCCTCCACTCTTTCAGTCATTCAATCATTATTTCTTTCTTTCTTTCTTTCTTTCTTTCTTTCTTTCTTTCTTTCTTTCTTTCTTTCTTTCTTTCTTTCTTTCTTTCTTTCTTTCTTTCTTTCTTTCTTTCTTTCTTTCTTTCTTTCCTTCCTTTCTTTCTTTCTTTCTTTCTTTCTTTCTTTCTTTCTTTCTTTCTTTCTTTCTTTCTTTCTTTCTTTCTTTCTTTCTTTCTTTCTTTCTTTCTTTCTTTCTTTCTTTCTTTCTTTCTTTCTTTCTTTCTTTCTTTCTTTCCTTCTTTCTTTCTTTCTTTCTTTCTTTGTTTCTTTGTTTCTTTGTTTCTGTCTGTCTGTCTGTCTGTCTGTCTGTCTGTCTGTCTGTCTGTCTGTCTTTCTTTCTTTCTTTCTTTCTTTCTTTCTTTCTTTCTTTCTTTCTTTCTTTCTTTCTTTCTTTCTTTCTTTCTTTCTTTCTTTCTTTCTTTCTTTCTTTCTTTTCTTTCTTTCTTTGTTTCTTTCTTTCTTTCTTTCTTTCTTTCTTTTCTTTCTTTCTTTCTTTCTTTCTTTCTTTCTTTCTTTCTTTCTTTCTTTCTTTCTTTCTTTCTTTCTTTCTTTCTTTCTTTCTTTCTTTCTTTCTTTCTTTCTTTCTTTCTTTCTTTCTTTGGCATTTTTTCTCAGTTTTAAACTGCCTTATTACTTTCTTCGTTTTTTTGTGTTCATCCCTAATGTAGTGTAGTGAGCCGCTGTGATGCAGAGGCTAGACGCTAGACTGCGGATCGGAAGGTCGTGTGTTTGGGTCCTGACAGTAGCGGACTTGTTACTATTTTAGTGTGAATAAACTTGGCTGCCAGGTCGAACCAGCCTTGAATGTGTACCACGTGGATTTTTTGGAAGTAAAGACGGTCGGTATGATGCTGACCATATCACCCACCGAGTGCCGATTCGTCTGAAAATATAGGTCTAGCCCTATATGCCTAATATCCATGAAAGCGTGGAAAGGGTTCTTTACTTTAGTTTTTTAATGTAGCCCATTACTTGAATTACTGTCACCAGAATCTTGGAATATTTCCCTGCATGTTCTACCATGACCAATTCGAAGGACAGAAGTAGCAAAACTGTCAGATGCTTTCACAGTCAGAGGAGGAATGAGGGGTTAACAGTAGTCCCCCTTTTGAATGCAATTTTTCGTTATTGGAAGCCCCTCCCTGGTTTTGGATTGGATTTTTTACCCCACCAGGACATCACACAAGCGATAAACACCCGATGACACAAAGTGCCACCATGCGGATGAGGATCACCGTGGAGAGGTCCCAGAAACCGCGTTCAGACATTTGGCCATAATGATGACCTGCCTATATTGCGGCCCCTGGCAAAAGCCAGAGTGGGGCTTCAAATAACAAAAAATAACGTCCTAAGAAGGACGTAAGTTAGTAACGAGTTACTCCCTGGTTTTTGCTGAGGAGCATGATCGTCATGGTCGCGTTGCTGGGGCTTACGGGTGATCGTCACCGCACTTTGTGTCACCGAGTGTTTATCGCTTGTGTGATGTCCTGGTGGAGTACAACAAGAGTGTGTGTGAGAGAGAGAGAGAGAGAGAGAGAGAGAGAGAGAGAGAGAGAGAGAGAGAGAGAGAGATAGATAGAGAGAGAGAGTGAGAGAGAGAGAGAGAGAGAGAGAGAGAGAGAGAGAGAGAGAGAGAGAGAGGAAAAAGAGCGACAATAGATAGACAGGCCCACCCATGAGGCTGTGGACCACTAGCTATTCCATTCGACAGAAATTGATGGCAAACGTCGAAGTTGATGATGATGATGATGATAATGATTATGATGTTGATAACGATTATGATGATGATGTTGTTAATGACGTCGATAATGATGACGCCAATGATATCAATTCATTTTCAGATCAAGTTTGAGGGGATCACGGGTCACGTAGCTTTCAATGAACGGGGTCACAGGAAAGACTTCACACTGGATGTCTATAACGTGGCCATGACCCGGGGAGCCGCCAAGGTCGTCTAATATACGTCTGTTGATTGTTTATTTGTTATTGCTGTTTATGTCGGGTAAAAAAAAGGGGGGGGGGCGCAATAAAAAAAGCATCCTCATCATGTGCTGTGCCGGTAAGCGTATGCTGTCATGTGTCGCCATCTGAAAAGATCACCAGAAATACCAGAGGCACAAATAGATCATTACGGTCTGAGGAAAATGGCGTTGCGAGGAGTTACCAGGGGGTTAGGGCAAACGCACAACACTCGAGAGAAAGGTGAGACGGGTGTACAGACTGTTACTGGTACCATGGGTACTGGAATTCTTAGCTTGCTGCTGAAGATGGGAACGGGGCGCTTATCGGAGTGTCCCGAGTTCTATGATGTCGATTATGAATTTGACACTAAACATTCATAAACATGAATCAGTTCAATGATTTTGTCTTGACCCGTCCACTTAGCCAGGTCAATATAGCCAGGCCAGACAATACTACGACAGTCTTATTTTGCAGAAGAGTACACGCAATTGGTTGTTTTTAAAAACGAGAAAACAGTGACGTCAGAAGAAACTTCGAGACACACGTTGATGAGAGAGGCTAAAGGTACCGGACTAAATTCCAGCCATGAAACTGAAACAGTTGTAAGGACATATGGAATGGTGGAACGAACGAAAGAAGAAACGAACTTTGTTTTCACACATTGATACACATTTTGCACGCAGACCAGTCGTACACTCGGCCCTTCCAAACACTCGGTCCTTCCAAACACTCGGCCCTTCCAAACACTCGGCCCTTCCAAACACTCGGCCCTTCCAAACACTCGGCCCTTCCAAACACTCGGCCCTTCCAAACACCCATCTTTCACACAGAAGTTGTATTAACTGTGAGCTCTTAATGACACACAATGGAATTATAAGATAAGTACGATAATGGTTTAGAAAACAAGCAAAATTGTGCGTCATCATAAAGTAGCGTCCCCACGTAAGAGGTATGAGTCCCAAAACTGACTGTCCGGAATCTTCATAGAGCACGGCTATTTAGCTAAGTTTAATCCGGCGCCCAACATTTTGAAAATGGACATGGCTACGGGCCAGCGGCACGAGCATTAAAATATAAAAATAATGAATATTAAACAATTGGCAATGTGTAAAAGACATGGAAAGTAAAGACAGCCGGCGAGATACTGACCATATCACGTACTAAATGCCGATGGCTTCCATTATATCTAAGTAGCAGAGCTCTCTGTAGTGCACCATCCGGTAGTTGTTTTGACACGTGACCAGACCATATGACCATATGATATGACCATATGATGTTGTTTAGAAATGGTTCCGTCACAATGTCTTTCCCGACATCGTCCTTGCTGATCCTTATTCGTTATCTTTATAATATCTAGAAGAAAGCTCTGGCAGTTCGTCTACTTCTGGACTTTAGTCGTTTCCCTGAACTTGAGTTTTATGTGCACATCGGTGTTACAGATATGGCATATATGTATGCAAGCTGCTGGTTCTTTGCAACTCAGACAGATGAACTCCAACTTCAAAGGAACCCATAATTAGTCGACTCCTACGACATGCTTGTTAGTGAGGATTGAGTATATCTCCCCCCCCCCCCTTTTCCTCCTCCCTCCGGCATTACAAAAGGACCCAGAACACACCGGGAGAATTGTTCTGATCCTAAAGTTACATTAAGACATGACAATTGAAGAGCAAGGAAAAATACGCTTGAGATTCAGGTCTTCACAACAGAATGGTCCCTGCAGCATGGTTGGTTCAGGCACCTTGACATTTACCTCAGTTCCCCGCCCCCTTTTTCCCCAATAAAGTTGGGGGGGGGGGGGGGGGCTAAACCAATTGAAAATTTGTAATCCCCCTCCCCCCCCCCTTTTTTCCCCGTCCCAAATCACGTACAGCATTTCCAATGTGTTCATTTTGATTATTTCAAATACACGTATATTATTATACTAGCTATACCCGGTCACGCGTTGCTGTGGCCCAGAATGGTGAAATGGAAAAAAAAAAGAAAATAGCCCTCAGCTAAGTGTCTGTCATAACCCTCCCTCCCCCCTCCCCCAAGTTTCCCCTCGACCCAGTCGTATCTGCCTCTCCAAAAGATTGAAAAATCATCACTTGGCGAAATTATTAAAATAGAAATAGTTAAGAAATGAAAACTGTCCAATAATGTTTTAGGCTCTCTCAGTTAACAGTGTCTGGCATCACCCCACCTCCCCCTCTTCGCCCCCCCCCCACCCTCTACTAATCATATCATCCTCTCCGAAGGATGGGAAAGTCATCATCTGACGAAATATTGTAAATAAATTGTACTTGGCATCCGTGTCCACCCAGACTAAAATAAGTAGCATCAATTTGTACTGAAAAGTAAATATGAACAGTGTAACAGCTACCACATCACCCATCTAGTACCAATACTACTGCTACCACCACTTCCACCACCTTCACAGCAGCAACAACAACAAAAAACTGTCACTACTGTCTGTGTAGATCGGTGTAGCCAGAGGAGTTAGCGCCGCATGCTGTCATCACGGACTGTTTAGTTTAACTCTGCCCCGGAAACATGAAAAAAAAACTACACTATACTCACAAATAGCGGAGAAAAATACCCCGCACCCGTCATCTCTCAATCTCCGAAGGGACTATATTTACTGACCTTGGCATCCGTGTCCACTCTAACTAAACTGAACTGTAAGCCGTCTTAGTTAACAGTTTCTGTCCTTGCCGAATAGTTTTTGATCGAGTGAAGTGTCGCGGGGAGGCTAATAGGGAGTTTACTGAAATCAGATGTCTTTAGGCAAAAGGTGCAGATATCGCAGCCTAGCTATAAACCACAACACAACGTGCCAACGGCCCTTACATGGGCGAACGAAGATTACCTGTGACATGACCATTGAGCATCACGTCGCCGCTATCACAGGCTAGCTGTTAACCCTAAAACCGAAAAAGGCGTAGATATCGCAGCCTAACCATAAACAACAACACAACTTGCCACCCGTAAAGTTAAGGGCAAAAAGAAGGTATTTTTTCATCGAACGCCGGTCACCCGCATGATAAGCGGAATGCTTACAACTACGCTACCAAAGCCTCAAGTTGTTTACTTTGTTACATTAGTGGAAATGAAATTATATAATAACGCGAAGTTCAATAAGAAATAATGTCTCAGGTTCAGGTCTTTGCATGTCCAAATACTCAGTCAGGAACTGGTCGTGTGCATAACGAATGTAGATCAATCAAGACAGTTCAACTCACCCGTTATTTGCATTGCACAATAGTATTAAAAAAAAAAAACACCAAAATACGAAACAACAAAGCATACTATAGAATGTTTGAAAACCCAAGCTAAGGTGACCAAACACCCCAAGCAAAACATAAGCAAAAACGAAAACAGAAAGCCAAGAATAATAAAAAGTATACAATTTATAGTAACGACGGGAACAATTTACCCACTGTTATGTATAAAACGGGATACATTAAAACAACAAAGTAAACAACGCTGCCTAATGTGAACCCAAGGCGTCATATAAATATATGGATCATGGGTAAAAGGCACTTATTGGCAGCCCTGCTCAGTAGTCAAAATGGCCAATCAGCTAAAAACAAATCCGGGCCGGCAACGTAAAAAATAATGATTTGACCATTGCTGGAGCTACGTCGTTCGTGGTTTGTGGGATTTTAAAACACAAAAAAAACACTCATTGAGTCAAAAGCAACGTTGTGTGAAAATTTGAAAGCCGTCGGTTCAGTAGTGTCCAAGTCTATAGGTAACAGACTCGGAAAATTAACATTTTTATTAATATAGAAGATTAATTCGCAGTTTAGAACATTATTATTACTCACTTATATTATGCTTAAAACTCAGCACGCGGTTAAAAAATCTCAGTCTCAACGTCCTTTTGCCTACACCACAGAAGAGCTAAATACAGACAGTAATGGCAGTTCTATGCCCCAGTTACCAATGGACCCACCCCCAATTTTGTGTCGTTTCCCCTGTCGGGAGTCTGTGGGGATCGTGACTTTTTGCAATGAATTTGCTGTGTGATGATGATGGTGATGAAGAGGACGACAATGATGATGACGATGATTACGATGATGATGATGCTGGTGAGGACGATGATGATTAGGAGGATTATGATTATGATGATGATGATGATGATAAAGAAAATAATGATGACGATGATGATGACTATGATGACGACGATGATGATGATGATGACGACGACGAAAATGATCATGATGATGATAATGGCAATAATGATGATGATGATGACGACAATGGTGGAAATGATGACGATGATATTAACGAGGAAAAGGCGGCTGTTGTTGCTGTTGCTGATGATTATGATGATTAAGACAGAAGCATAGACCACATACAATCTGTGACATGATAACTTGTTTAGACTAATCCTTAACCTGTGACCTGACCAGGAGACAATTGTATGACACACCTGTGCTCGTCCCCTCAGATAGGCTACTGGAACGAGAGAGAAGCCAAGTTCCACCCGCAGATACCCCGGCTGTTGAGGGACCCAGAAGAAACAAACATCAACAGAACTCGAATTGTGACCACCATTAAAGTAAACGTTCCCAACTCTTCTAGTTAGTTATTGTTGTTATCTTATTTTTCTTAGGCTTCACGCTAGATTATGTTTTGTTTTGTAGGCTGTTATCACTTTTTTTTTTTTACCCTTTGTTGACGTTGTTGTGTTTTGATTTAATGGTAGTGTTAGTGTGTGTTGTTATTACTATTACTGGATACTTAAACAAGGCCTGAGCTCCTCGTCCGTTCCTAGCAAATTTTCGGGGTGTGGAGGGATTCCTGACACACCACTTTCCAATGTTTTCTCTGTAGTGGTAGGCCTTATTTTGTATTAAATTGCTTGCCGTTATTTAATTATTATGTTTCCCAGTATTGTCTGCTAGTTTTGACGTAACGATGTAATCGAGTGTTTTATCTCTTCAAAGCCTTAGCAGTATGAGCCGCCGTGGCGTTGGCAGGTTGACGCCTGCCAGCGGATCGGAAGGTCATCGATTCGCCTTCTGACGGAGCCGGAATTTTTTTTTAAAATGACTTTAACTCCCAGGTCGACCAAGCCTTGAGTGGGAATCAGGTGCAGTCCTGGGAAGTTAAGGCGATTGACGTGATGCTGAACACTCCTCCCTCCAAGGGTCGATTGGTGTATAAAATATAGGTCTAGCCCTATTTACCCAATACGCCTGAAAGGGATGGAAAATAGTTCTTTGCATTACTTACTTTACAGTGAAAGTAGGGATGTTGGACGTTATGCAACCAATTTCAATCTCTGTAGCCTCTCATATCTTTTGAGAGACTACACCAAACATTGTCTCTTCTACCATCATTTTGCAACCGTCTCCAACACTCACTATAGCCTCTCATATCTTTTTGGAGACTACACAAAACATTACTCTTCAACCATCATTTTGCAATCGTCTCCAAAACTCATTGTAGCCACTCATATCTTTTGGGAGACTACACCAAACATTGTCTCTTCTACCACCATTTTGCAACCACCTCCAACAATCACTGTAACCTCTCATATCCTTTGGGAGACTACACTACATACAGACCTCTGTTTCTGAGATATCTGCCACAGTGGGTTTACCATCAACATCACCAACTTCTTCGAGAACATAACATAACTTACTAACTAGAATCAAAGCAGCAACCTCTTCTGTTACAGCTCCATCACACAAAAGAAAAGCGCCTACTGCGTGACACTTCAAAAAATTCAAATATAGAGACAAGTACATAGACATTGGATCTATGTTATTTACTGTAGTAAAACAATGTTATTGACATTGTTTGACTATTTCCAATCATCACAGCAGTTTTCCATGTTTGCTTTATTTGTAGCATCCTTATGTACAACATTTCTGTAAATTTAACAGTTCTTTAATGTATTTATGACACTGTTGTTGAGTCAGCGCATAATTACCCTCACAAGATGGTGAAAAATACTGTTTGTCTTACAGAAGGAGCCATACGTCATGTTCAAGAAAGTACCCAAGGATGGTAAACCTTTAATTGCTGATGAGAACCTTGAGGGCTTCTGCATTGATTTGACCAGGGCTGTCGCCAAGAAGGTAAACGGCATAATGATAAGGTCATTTTCCCAATAGTTGGGATCATAAGTCCAAATTCTGAGGTCAGCAGTCCAATAGTTATGGTCATAAGTCCAATTTTTGAGGTCAGTAGTTCAATAGTTATGGTCATAAGTCTAAATGCTGAGGTCAGTAGTTCAATAGTTAGGGTCATAAGTCCAATTTTTGAGGTCAGTAGTTCAATAGTTAGGGTCATAAGTCCAATTGCAGAGGTCAGTAGTGCAATAGTTAGGGTCATCAGTTCAATTGTTGAGGCCAGTAACCCAATAATTAGGGTCATCAGTCCAACAGTTAGGGTCATTGTTCAATAGTCAGGGTAATTTGTCCAAAGAGTCATTAGTCTGATAGTTAGGGTCATTATTCCAGTTCTTAGGGTCATTAGTCCAATAGTTAGGGTCATTAGTCTAATATTTAGGGTCTTTGACCAATAGTTAGGGTCATTATTCCAATAGCTAGGGTCATTTGTCCAATAGCTAGGGTCATTTGTCCAATAGTTAGGGTCATTTGTCCAATAGTTAGGGTCATTTGTCCAATAGTTAGGGTCATTTGTCCAATAGTTAGGGTCATTTGTCCAATAGTTAGGGTCATTCTGTAGACACTGGTGTGTGGAAACTATAAACATGTCATTACAAATGATGCAGGAGAGAAACATTGCCAGGCATTGATTGGCACTTATATGTGTCTTTTTCTTCTTCTTCTTCTTCTTCTTCTTCTTCTTCTTCTTCTTCTTCTTCTTCTTCTTCTTCTTCTTCTTCTTCTTCTTCTTCTTCTTCTTCTTCTTCTTCTTCTTCTTCTTCTTCTTCTTCTTCTTCTTCTTCTTCTCCTTTTTCTTCTTCTTCTTCTCCTCCTTTTTCTTCTTCTTCTTCTTCTTCTTCTTCTTCTTCTTCTTCTTCTTCTTCTTCTTCTTCTTCTTCTTCTTCTTCTTCTTCTTCTTCTTCTCTTCCACCTTGTACCTCAGCCTGACTTGTTTCAAAAGAACCTTGGCTCGCAGGTTGACCCAGTTTTAAATGGGTACCAGTTAAAGCCCTGGGAAGTACGAATGAACAAACAAACAAACTTTATTTTCAAAGGGTAAAAAATTGACATTCGGCCCTTCTAAGCACTCATTTTTCAGAGTATCAATGCCTGTCATCAGTGAAGCATGTTATGGATGTAATAAAGAAATACACATTATGGAATAATGCATACACACATCATGTGTTCACAATCACACACACACACACACACACACACACACACACAAACACACGTATACATACTCTTACATTCTCATACAAGACGACTCATGCTGACCAGAACTCCCCTCACATAAAGATTATTCTATTAAATATAGGTCAAGACCTATGTGCCGACTACGCCTGAAAGCGAGGAAGAGGGTCCTTAAATTTATACTTGTATACACATTCATATATTTCTGCAGATTGGTTTCGAGTACAAGTTTGTGTTTGTCAAAGATGGAAGTTATGGCTCTGTGTTAGAGAATGGCACCTGGGATGGCATTGTTGGGGAACTCATTCGTCATGTAAGTATGGAAGATAATCAGTCCTATCCCACCAGTCAAAACTCTCCATCTCAGTGCTGGGAAAGCCCATCCTTGTTTGTTTGTTTGTTTGTTTTAGTATCCAGAAGCCATGAGTTAACCCTTAGGCTCGGTATTATGGATATCACAACCTTTAGGCCTTGATTCCACTGTAAATACCGTAAATCTGGAATAAATGTGGCTTTTCTGCCTACCCCTGGGAGTGAACCCGGACCACAAGGAGTTCCTCACCCGCTCACCGCGCAATCCGGTTTAGCCAACTACGCTAGAGAGCCGGGCAAAGCCTATCCGTCACCTGTGTCATTAGATATCCACATACATCTTTATGTGCACACAGCCACCTTTAGCCCCCACATCCAGTCAATAACAACACTTGATGAATATGATCTGGAGGGTTCAGGCAGGTTCAGTGCGAAGAGAGTGGCTTCAGTCATTACAGAAGTCTTTATTTTCATTTCGTATACGCAGTCGTCAATAGAAATGAAAGAGCTGATAGGTTGACTGGATCCGCTAACACTACTGATGGTCAACCTATGGATCATGCTGACAATACTAATGCCCTCATGTAAGTATGGAAGATAATCAGTCCTATCTCACCAGTCAAAACTCTTGATCTCAGTGCTGGGAAAGCCCATCCTTCAGCTGTGTCATTAGACATCCACATACATCTTTATGTGCACACAGCCACCTTTAGCCCCCACATCCAGTCAACAACAACACTTGATGAATATGATCTGGAGGGTTCAGGCAGGTTCAGTGCAAAGGAAGTAGCTTGAGTCATTACAGAAGTCCTGTGTGCATGAAGTCATCTTTATTTTCATTTCGTATACACAGTCGTAAATAGGAACGAAAGAGCTGATAGACTGACTGGATCTGCTAACACTACTGATGGTCAACCTATGGATCATGCTTACAATATTAATGCGCTCCGAGAAATGAGAAGAGGGGAGGAATTTGGAGTTAGTGAATCCACTTCACTCACCATAATGATAGACATGGAGATAACATTAGCATGGCAAAAACTAAGACTCACACCAAGCACATTGGAGGACTTGTTCACCAACATAGAACTCACACTATTAGCCACCAGACACTAGGGTTCATATTAAGGAAGGATCTGAGCACCTGTGGACATGTCTAGAGTGCATTGATGATAACCCACCTACCTAACTAACGTACTGACTGATTGACTGACTGACTAACTAACTGACTGACTGACTAACTAACTAATTAATACATCTACCATGCAATTCTAGTCAACAACCACATTTGACCTGGACCTTTATGTGCAGATGTCTGTCTGTCTGTCTGTCTGTCTGTCTGTCTGTCTGTCTGTCTGTCTGTCTGTCTGTCTGTCTGTCTGTCTGTCTGTCTGTCTGTCTGTCTGTCTGTCTGTCTGTCTGTCTGTCTGTCTGTCTGTCTGTCTGTCTGTCTGTCTGTCTGTCTGTCTGTCTGTCTGTCTGTCTGTCTGTCTGTCTGCGTGTGTGCATGTGTGCGTGCATGTGGGTGGGTGGGTGAGTGTGTGTGTGTGTGTGGGTGAGTGGGTGGATAGATAGATGGCTGGATGTATGGATGGATGGATCTGTTATTTGAGGGCATATGATCCATTTGGGATTAAAGAGCAGCGGCAGTGGTGGCGGCGGCATAGCAGCAGCAGAAGCAGAAATATGAGCAGGAGAAGGAAGAAAAAGAAACACACAAAACAACTGATGTGGATGTTAGCTAAATAAACTGTAGAGAATTGTAGTTATTATTTTGTCCAATTCTATTACCATATTGATATCAACTGTAACTCTTACCCTCGCCAGGAGGCAGACATGGCGATCGCTCCATTCACTATCACGGCACACAGGTCCCTGGTCATTGATTTCACTAAACCCTTCATGACTCTGGGGATATCCATCATGATCAAGAGACCGCAGCCTGTGGGTAAACATTTCTTCTCCTTCCTGGAGCCACTGTCCTCTGAGATCTGGATGTGCATCATCTTTGCTTACATTGGTGTCAGTGTGGTCCTCTTCTTGGTGAGTCGCTTCAGGTATGTAGGTCAGTGCTCATCTCCGGCTGGTGTGTCAGTTGGGGAATATCTCAGGTGGTAGTAGTAATTTTTTGTTTTTTAATATCCTGTTTAACTCTCTGGGTTATATTTGGGATACATAGTGTTGATTGAGTTCTTAGAGTACATATTTGTTATTTCATATAAATATATCATGTTCAAAATTGCATTTTATTAAATGAAGAATATTTTATGCAAAAAATCCATGTCATTGGAGGTTAGGAAAAGACATCTCAAAAGCTAAATAGAGCCAGTTTTAACATACAGTTGGGAATCCTAGATAATAAAAAAATAAGCCGAAAAATATCTTGAGGCCTCGAAGATGTGGTTTTACAGAAGAATCCTTAAAATTCCTTGGACAGTCAAGAAGAGCAACCCAGATATTTTTTAATAGGTGAGTGCTCGGAAACAGCTTATCACAAACATCAGGAAGCGACAATCATAATTTTTTGGTCATGTTATAAGAAGAGGAAAAGTGGAATATGTTGTAACCACTAGAAAGATTTGTGGAAAGAGAGATAGAGGAAGACAGTGAAAGAAGATTCTTGAAAGCCATTTGTCACGGAATGGAGGAATGTCAACACACGAACTGATACATGCAGCTGCGGATCACAGACTGTGGAGAGGCATGATCACCCACGCCAGTCGGCAAGGTACTTGATGATGATGATATCATGTAGTTATTTTTATGACCAAAATGTAATTTGAATTGTTTCACGTTTTTCTTTGATTTGGATTGAGATCATGTTAGAAATTGTGTTACGAATAATTAGACAAACTTACTAACAATGTTTCATTCATCATCACCATAATAAGTTTCCACTTCTGCCGTTATGCATTGTGGGGAGGAGCAGTTTGAGATCCATTGCTTGATGGGTAGTAATGGCTATTATCATTCCATGTCAATCTAGAAGCTCTTTAATGTTGTCAATCCTTGTTCTCCGAGGGAAGGCCTCTTGATTTAATTTAGACCTTTTCATGTGTTGTGCCTGCACTGGCGGTTGTTCTGGCTGCATTATTACTAAATGGCCGAACCATTCTATCCTCAGTTTCTCAATGATTTTGCTGCGTGGTGTTGTTCCTACAGTCTGTCAGATATTATCCTTTCTAACTTTGTCTCTGATGGTTAAGTTGGCACCTTATGTCAGGCATCTAATTTCAAAGGTGTTAATTTTGCATAGTTTAGCTATTGATAATGTCCAAGTCTGGCACTGGTAGCACAGTGTTGGTATGAATATGCTGTTTATAATCTGTTTCTTGGCACTTATACTTATGTTTGGATGTCTTAATAATGGTGTCATTTGATATTTAAGTGCAGTGACTCGTTGGCATATTGTTTCTATTTGCCTATCTATTCTTCTGTTTTCTGAGAATATACTTCCTAGATATTTGAATTCCTTTACTTGCTTCAGACAAGTACCTTTCTTCCCGATATTGGACTAGCAATTCTTCTGACCTGCACTACTTCAGTTTTAGTTGTATTTATTACCTTCTTATACCTTTTGCATATTGAACTTACCCTGTTTAAACGGTCTTGCAGACTACTACCCTCATTGTAGAACAGGCACTGATCTTCTGCAAATCTAATTGCCTCATTAACATGGTGGATATATTGTTTACTTATTGTGCAATCATTGATTATTCTCCTTGATTGTATCTTTAGGGGAGACTACTTCAAAGATGACATAAGCATTCTTTACACTTCTATACATGGATTTTAGTCCTAGTAATAAATTGCTTGACCTAGCCACACAGCTCTCTGGGGCTGTTTATATGCAGCAAGTTTTCCATTGTCATAGGTAATTTACAGAGATTCACATAGTCAGTTAACAGTTTCCTGCTGTGTGTAAAATCCTGGGCTCCATTTTTGTGAAAAAGAATCGACTCACTGCCTCCATAACAAGCATGGCATAAGAGTTCACTAGTTAAGGGTTTCTTTTAAAGTCAGAGGGCATCTGCCTGAGAGGCAAGGAACTAACAGTCTACACACACACACACACAAAAGCCAGTTCTGTAAAATGCATTTGCACGTACAATTTAGGTTCTGGAACAATACTAAAGTCTTGCAGTGAACAAACAGCCACAACTTCCCAGCGTTTATGGCCAGTAAACACGAAGAAGACAAAAGAATTGAGGAATATAAGTGTTGGCCTGACATTTTTTTCATTAGTTGTGTCTTTTGTGTACTTAATGTGTGTCTTCATACTGAGCTCTTTTCATGTGATACTGTAGACTATAGGCTTTAATTGTTATGTCTTTATTCATATCTGATTCTTGAATGATGTCATGACTCTTCAGAATTGTGGGATGGCACCTCCTAGAAAAATGGCATGGCACCTTATGAGCTGTGACATGGTATCTCATGAACTGTGACATGGCACCTCATGAACTGTGACATGGCATCTCATGAACTATGACATGGCACCTCATGAGTTATGACACTGCACCTCATGAGCTATGACATGATGCCTCTTGAACTGTAACATGGTGCCTCATGAATTATGACATTGCACCTCATGAACTATGAAACAGTTATTCTTGAACATCTGTTGAGTACAGCACTGAAGGCAGTGCAAAAAACACACTTGCAGTCAGCAACTCACAGAGTCACTTTGTGTTGGATCAACAAGAACGGTTTCAACAAAATCCGAATCCACTCCCTGATGATGTTCAAGGGACATCACTGTAGTCTAGTGGGGACACAATTCTACATTGCCACACTAATAATTTTTATTTCATGACATTTTTTTAGGCCAGATTTTTTAGATACATACACAGTAGTTGTGTGCTATTTATATGGACATTGTATAGTTGGAAATGAATTTTGTTAACTGCCATATGAATTGTCAATTGAAGATATTTCTGTCGTGGATCAGACATGTCAAAGTGAGAAACCCCGAGATCCACATCCCTGGTTTGGTTCAAGTGACAACATACTGTCAGTCTAGTATATATATACAATATCTATATTATACACTATATAATATATTATTTCATACGTTTTTTTTAGACCAGATTTTTTTTTAGATTGATACACCCCACGTCTAGCTATTTTTGACATTGTATAGTTGGAAATGCAATATAGGCAGGCCATCAATATGGGCCAATTGTCTTAACGCGGTTTCTGGGACCTCTCCACGGTGATCCTCACCCACAGGTGGCACTTTGTGTCATTGGGTGTTTATCGCTTGTGTGATGTCCTAGTGGGGTAGAAATTCAGTCAGTCAGTCAGAAGTCATTTAAATTAAATTGCAGAATATTTTTTTTTTGTATGGGCCACACGTATGCTTGCAAAGGACCGCGGGCAGCCAGTTTGACATGCCTGTCTTAGACAATTTATGTATTTCTAAGATTATAAAGCTCTTCTACACTCTACAGCCCCTATGAATGGCACCTGTCAGAAAGCCAGTACTCCATCGCCAATGATTTCTCTATCTCCAATTCACTGTGGTTCACCCTGGGAGCTTTCATGCAGCAAGGTTGTGATATCTCCCCCAGGTAAGTGATGTGATATCTCCCCCAGTTAACTGATGTGACATCTTACCGGGTAACTGATGTGACATCTCCCCCCCCCCCACCCCTTCCCCCGGTAGGTGATGTGACATCTCCCCCAGGTAAGTGATGTGACATCTCCCCCAATTAACTGATGTGACATCTCCCCCAGGTAACTGATGTCACATCCCCCTCCCCTTTCCTCAGGTAAGTCATGTGACATCCCTCCCAAGTAACTGATATGACACATCCCCAGTTAACTGATGTGCCATCTCTCCCAGTAACTGTTGCAACATCTCTCCCAAGTAACTGTTGTGACATATTCCCCAGGTAACTGTTGCAACATCTCCCCCAGGTAACTGATGTCGCATCTCCCTCAGTGACAAGGTTTTAGTTTTCTGTCAGAATTCAGCAGTGCAATATCAGGGATCTCACATAAATCAATGATCTGGCCCAGGCCCGTGCAGATCTAGTTGAATTCTTGGAGGAACCTGTGTGTGTTTTCACAAAATAGGAAAGAGGGAGGGAGCAGAGAGGGGGTGCACACTAGAGCATTTAATAATCATCTTTCCTGGCAAGGCTAACATGTGCAACAAATGCCTGTCGGATGTGTCCGCTGAAAGGCACAAATATCACAGCCATGTTTTTAACGGGGACATTGCATTTACGTCTTTAGATAATCATAGAAGGGGGTGAGGAGGGGGCTGCATGGTCTCGAGTGATAGTTTCCGCCTCGAGTGCTAGAGGTTTTGGGTTCAATCCCGGTAAGGGCTGGGATTTTTTCACGTGGACTTAGACTTTTAGTATTTCCCCTGGTCTCTTGGTAGTGAGATCGGATGCCCGTGTGCATTGTTGCGCATGTAAAAAATCCCTTGGCACTTGGAAATCAAAAAGAGTAGCCTAACGGCGCTGCCCAAATTTGGAGCTGAAAACCTACCCAAAATATTTCAAGATCCTCGCTAGTGCTACAAAGCCTGTGGACTGTGCTGAGCTTCTTCGGACTAGGACTCAAGTAAGAAGAAAAACAGAACACTTATGGGTTACTACCCGTGTGCCATGATGTTGATCCATTGTTCAAACTTCAGATAATCACAGAAGAAAATCAAGATACATTTGTCTCCATTTTCTTCTGTTTCTCTAGTGTTGTGTGTGTGCGACTTAGCAGAGATGATCTCCAATCTTTGTCAGATGCTGCTGGTGTACACAGAGTGTAACAAGACTTAGAATTAAAGGATTAGAGATAAATAGAAATTATATCCCTCTCTGAGCAGTCATAACTACCAAAATATAACATCCCAGTTAACTGGACACATTTTGTAGAGGTAAATTATCTGCAGCAGGCATTAAATCGAATGGAACAAATAGTTTACACATTACAACACATAGTGCCATTACAATCACTTTTTTTATTTTGCATGATGAAAAACATACTCAACAAAGAACATGTGTCAACTGCAGTCAGAGTAAGATAGTTAAGATATATAAGTAAGTAAAGGCAAAAGACCTTTTCTATGGCAGTGGCCCATCGGCCATATTCCTATTTTTATAGGTCAGTCAGCATTTGGTGGCTGATTTGGTCATCATTACCTCAGCCACCTTTACCTCCCAAAACTTTGCCTGGTACTCTTTTTAGGCTGGGTCAACCTGGGACCCAACGTCAATGCTGAAGAAAAAAAAATCCCTTAAGATCCTATAAATAGATTAAAATGTCTGCATGGATGATGTGGTCAGCATCATGCCTGCCACCTTAACTTCCCAGGACTGCACCCGGTACCCACTCAAGGCTGGGTCGACCTGGGAGTCAAGGTCGTTTTTGAAAAAAGTCCAGCTCCAGCAGAGAGCGAACCCATGACCTTCCAATCCCCACGCGAGTATCTAGCTGCTATGTCACAGCCACTTCAATAAGCAGAAAAGATAGGAAACATCATATATACAGGGGAATTATAAACAATAAAAGAAAACAGACCTAAATACAAATTTGACAGTATTTTGAGAAGAAGATTAAACTGGAAGTTTATTAGATAAATGATGCATAAACAGACAAGATGTGTTTGCCTTTTGCGAGGAGAACAATTCTTGTAAACTGAGGGACAACTGAAGAGTTTAGTAAGAAAAGAGCAATGAGAAAATACAGTGATCAATAAATGAATTGACTTAGTTAAATGTCTTACCTAGCAAAAAAACAGAAACTTGATCTTAAACTCTAGTAACTGTATCCAAAGGTGAACCAAATCTACAAAGAGAATATGAAAAGCTCATGGTGATTCCTAAATCACTATTTCTCTGGTGATAAAACAGAGCGTCTGTTCTTGCAGGCAAGTTCAGAAGCAGTGAGTTTCGATCAACCCCACTAGGACAGCACAAAGAGTGATAAACACCAATGACACAAAGTGCCACCACTCAGATGAGAATGCCCAGGTACAAGTCCCAGAAACCCTGTTGTTGTTCTTCTTCTTCTGCGTTTGACATCAGTCATGCTAGACATTGAGTCCCGTCTGGGTCACAAATAGGACTGTGCATTTAAGGTCGCCACCGGTTCCCCCATAGCTTCTCTTTCAATGTGGCTCCCTTGGGCCAGATCCCAGTCTTTGCTGGGAGAGGTTAGGGCAGTGCTGTTCAACTATTGGGTTATATTAGGGCCCCTGACTACAGCCGGTGTGGGGCTTTAACATTAGTAAAAAAAAAACATCCTTGTGTTTTATGTTGGGGCCAGGTTATTGTTCAGAAACAGTCACTTCTGTTATTGATGTCTGAGATTATGACTGAATTCCTATCCTCAGGTCTGTGTCAGGCAGGATCGTCGGCTCTGTGTGGTGGTTCTTCACTCTCATCATAATTTCCTCATATACAGCCAATCTGGCAGCTTTCCTGACCGTAGAGAGGATGTTGACACCCATTGACTCAGCTGAGGACCTGGCCAGGCAGACGGAGATCCAGTATGGCACGATTATGTCTGGCAGCACAACGGCATTCTTCAAGGTGAGGAACCTTCCAGTGTGGGCTGAAATCGTTTTAATAGTACTGAGGATGGGAGGCTAACATCAGGGATGATCAGCTGTCACCTTTTCCTGAAAAGACACTTCATGGACTATGAAATGATTACTTCTTTTCTAATGTCACTAGTTACAAATTATCTCTCACAGAATTCACACATTTCAAATTTTTACACATTACAAATGTCCTCTCATAAAATTCACGTTTCAATACAGCACAAACAACCTCGTAAAATTCAGGTGATGGGAAATTTATACATATCACACATTTTATTTCAAAAATGAAAAATGAATATTGTTTAGTTAGGAATTGACATCGAAGCACTTGGAACATTCACACAAGTGCTTTGTCCTCACCTTCAGCAGCAAGTGCAGAGTTTTGATTCCAATGGTGTCAGTAACAGTCTGATTGTACATTTGTCTTACTTTTCCCTTGAGTGTTGTGTGTCTGCCAGATCTTAGTCACTCCTCACAGCACCAATATCCTCAGATCGTAATGATCTATCTGTTCTTCTTCAGTGTTCACTCAGCCCCAAAGACTCTAACAACTCTTGCATCCATTCACCATAAAGTTGTGAGTACCAGCTAGTCTATCTCCCTGTTCATTTCCCAGTACACCAGCAAAAATATCCCAAGGAAGCTAACTTCCAGGATCTCTGAAGCGATACTTGCCACTCTTTATAGAGCATACCGTTCTCCACCTTTTCAACATGCTCTGTGAGTCAGTTACAATTACCACATGTACAAGCAGCTTGATTCTCAAGTCAGCGGAAGGCAGCAATGACTACCCCCATTTTTGTCAAACTAGATGTGATTTCATATGCCAGATTTTTGTCACATACCGCTCGTGACATGTGCCTGTTTTAAGGATTTCTCCTTAAGAACCAACAGCACTCTGAAATAGAATAATGTTGAGGTGTCGGCACGTATTGGTCTAAAGGGTATCCCGTGACCAATATACACCCAACCTATTTCAGGAGTAGGGCAACTCAAGCTATGGCACTACAGAATATATAACATTCCTAGGCGCAACTTGGCTGGACGTCCCCACTACTATAAGAAGATAGCCCCCAGGCTATGATATTGTAATATCACAGTCATGTTAACACAGATTAAGATTAATGGTTAAACATACATAAACTCTAGACAATTTGAACAGTGAATGATGGACACTCAAGTCAGTAATGAAACTTCCAAAGACATGTAATAAATTCCACATATATATCATATAAAAATCAAGCAAAAGGAATTAAAGAAAATTCAGAATAATGAGAGCCCAAACTGCAGAGTATCCGACTGGTATCTTTGAGACTCCCAGAGGCAAGCATAGTCATCATCATCATAAAGTCTGTGAACATGAAACATGAGTTTGGCATGGAACCATAGAGATTTCTACTTAGCTGGGTGTAGATCTGATCTCCTGCCCTCTGGCTTGCCCCTGGTCACTTGGGCTGGCTGGTGTTCTTTGGACTCCTGCTTGCTCCATGGTCACTTGGATATAGGTGGATATCATGGTGGTTAGACATCTTCATGGAGGTTCCAGACTATATAATCTGTCAATGAAATGTTAATTCACCAAACAATTTAACTAATTTGTCTCTTCACTGCTGGAGGTACGAACCAGCTCCTTGAAAGGATACTATGGCACTGGGTAGAACACTGGCCATGTCCATCAACCGCTGAACACATGATTGCTGATGGTGTAGGACCCATTGTAAAGTCTTCTGACCTGCTGGTGATGAAGAGGGGGTTGGTGACTGACAAGCTGGTGGCATTCAGGACTGCTGATTAACTGCCTGGCTTCCAAGGAGATTTCATCTCAAGTTTTATGAAATGTCCAAGACACAAAAGGCTGCCTCCTCAAAGTACAGATACAAGAGGCACAGTTAGGAACATCATTTCTTCTTGGCAGTCGGGCATAAAAATGAAACGAGACGCTAGGCGTCCTTTAAAAAAAAAGTTGCCCGCGAGATTAATGCGCCGAGGAGTAAAAAGATTTCTCGGAATCTGACTATTAATCTAGAAAATATCTATTCCGCAACTGTAAGTTTGAAAATGTAGACTTCACAAGGCCTCTAGAGGATATAGAAATACCTATTACACCAGATAAATGTATAACTCGATATGATGGACTATTTACCCACTGGACGGGTCTATATTTAAAATATGACCTGCCCGCTAGGGGCGTTAACATCACGATTAGTCCAATGTGTAGGGGTGGGCTTGATCACTTTACGACAGTTTTATTGCACTGAGCAACGTCCATTCGCTTTTTGCTAAGAACCCTCATGAATTTTGTCTGCCTCTCATCACAAAGCCATCTGTATAAATAATCACATCAGCTGGGTGAAAACTGTTATGAATCATGTGTTGAACTTCTGATTCTGCAGCACCAGCTGGGTAATCTGTGCACTCACATTTGTTTCTATATTATTTCAATAAAGTTATACAATATCAAATTTCCACCCACTGCAAATATTCTTGCTCGCTACCTCACACTTCTGTATGTCACAGATTGTTCACATATGTCCTCTCAATTAATTCCACACCTTGTTATGTCATTTAATGTTCACATATATCCTCCGACAGAATTCACAATTCTCAACATATCAAAGAATGTGGGCATACATGACGTCAGCATCACCATCTGTGTTTGTGAAAACCCACGATGAAGGGGTGAAACGAGTTCGGGAATCAAATGGCAAGTATGCCTACCTCACAGAGTCTACCACCATTGATTACATCAGCAACAAGAAGCCCTGCAACACTTTGAAAGTGGGTGGCAACTTAAACCAGGACAGTTTTGGTATTGGGACGCCAGTGGGTTCAGACTTGAGGTAAATGTAAACAAACTCATGTAGCAAGTCTGTTTACAGATCTTCATGTAGCAAGTCTGTTTGCAGATCTTCATTTAAGAAGTCTGTTTGCAGATCTTCATTTAACAAGTCTGTTTGCAGATCTTCATGTAGCAACTCTGTTTGCAGATCTTCATTTAGCAAGTCTGTTTGCAGATCTTCATTTAGCAAGTCTGTTTGCAGATCTTCATTTAGCAAGTCTGTTTGCAGATCTTCATTTAACAAGTCTGTTTGCAGATCTTCATGTAGCAAGTCTGTTTGTAGATCTTCATGTAGCAACTCTGTTTGCAGATCTTTATGTAGCAACTCTGTTTGCAGATCTTCATGTAGCAACTCTGTTTGCAGATCTTCATATAGCAACTCTGTTTGCAGATCTTCATTTAACAAGTCTGTTTGCAGATCTTCATGTAGCAACTCTGTTTGCAGATCTTCAAGTAGCAAGTCTGTTTGCAGATCTTCATTTAACAAGTCTGTTTGCAGATATTCATTTAACAAGTCTGTTTGCAGGTCTTCATGTAGCAACTCTGTTTGCAGATCTTCAGGTAGCAACTCTGTTTGCAGATCTTCATGTAGCAACTGTTTGCAGATCTTCATGTAGCAACTCTGCAGATCTTCACTCTCATCCTATCCTACTGGTGAAGAATCTTAATCTTTTACCCTCTTGCCTCTTGTAGTCTCATGTATTTTAAAAAAAAAAAAGTGAAGGTCCTTTTCCATGCCTTTAGGCGTATAGGGGCATATAGGGCTAGACCTATATTTGTATAGGCCAATTGGCACAAGATGGGTGATGTGGTCAGTATCATGCCTGCCACCTTTATTTCCCGGGATTGCAACCGGTACCCACTCAAGGCTGGGTCAACCTGGGAGTCAAGGTCATTTTTGAAAAATAGTCCGGCTCCAGCAGGGAGCGAACCTATGACCTTCCGATCCCCACACGAACATCTAGCTGCTATGCCACGGCTACTCCCAGTCTCATGTATAGAGTTTCTTTAAATATCTAAAGAAAAAGACTGGTAAAAAAGAGGAAGAAGAAGGTGGAGGTGATGGAGAAAGAGACTGACACATTGTGTGGAAACATGGAAGCTAGGAAAGTTATAACTGAGAAGAAATAATATTTTGTAAACTGAGTTTTCTGAGCAAGAGAAAATAGGATATGAGAGAAAAGAAAAGAAAATTAAATCATGTGTGCACATTTGTTTCAGTCAGTCATCCATGTAATATAACAACTGGTTGTTCCTTCACACATTAATTGTTATTTCAAATGTTCCTAATTGAATCATTAAGTTGTTGTTGTATGTTTCAGGGATAAACTCAATTTTGCTGTCTTAGAACTTCTAGAAAATGGGGAACTTGCAGTCTGGGAGAAGTTTTGGTTTGACAAAGGAGAGTGTCCACAACACAGCTCTAGCAAAGATGGCGCCCAGAGTGCTCTCACCTTGGCAAATGTTGCTGGCATATTCTACATCCTTGGTGGAGGTCTCATTGTTGCTATTATTTTTGCAGCGATTGAGTTTCTATACAAGTCCAGGATTGACTCCAGAAAATCTCAGGTACTTTCTTACATTTTGTATTTTTGTTTTGATTAGATTGCCAACTAGTGTCACATTTCTGTCCATGATTTATATAGTATATAAATAGAAGTACAAAAAGGCATTTAAAAAAAAAGGATAATTTAAAAAATATCACCTGCTGAAACACACAGTAACAAAACAACAGCAAATAATAGATCAGTACACAAAGTACCAATAATTTGATGTTGCTTTGATTGAAGATGATGTTTGAGCAGCAGTTAAGCATAAATAATCACAGAAGAATAAACAGGCATGCATACAAGTTGTTGAATGCTCAAGCTAGAATATATCATGTAACAAATGATTTTAAAATTCCTTGCAGTTAAAGAAGAATTACTGAGGCTAAAACTTGGAGTACAATATTTTACAATAAAGAAAATATCTGCACCGAACAATAGTAGTATAAATTCAAAGCAATGTTTCCCCATTGTAAATTTGAACAAAGAAGACACAAACAATAGATTGCACAATTTATTGCCTGGCATATTTTGCGGTATCTCGTCAGGTGCATACTACAGTAACAATTACATAAATGAAGCAAATAAGTAAATCCTTTATAACTGAAGTACAATTTCAGCAACGATCAAACATGACTGCCTAATTTTACCAGGGCAGCCGTAAAGAAAGAACTATCACTTTTTGAATACAGAGTTCCGAGTGCAGGTGACGAATCGCAGAGGCTTTGAGAAATCTTAGCGTTCTGCCATTGGTTGACGTATGAAGGATTTGAAATGCGTTATTTTTAGTCACTACGTGTCCATATTTTAGAAGATGACGTGCTATTGCAGAGGGATGAACTTTGCGGCTAGTTTTCTCATTTTGAATAATTTTTTGCAAAGCTTTTTCCACCCATACTGGAATGTGCTCTCCAGGCATCGATCAGTTCTGCCCACATAAGCAACTTCACAGCTACATTTAAACTGGTAGATAGAATTTGATTTGGCCTACGTTGACACTGGTTGTTTCACCGAGGGCATTGGCACAGGGGTAGTTTTAAACCTGATAATAAGCAAAGCAGCGTAGAAAGTTTGGCTGACTGCTGTTTTAGCCGGTCGTATAGCCGTTTCATAACAGCATCCCCTTGATAGGTTAGATGTATGTAGACTTGTTGTTTGGGGACTGACGTTTCTGTAATAGTTGGTTGAGGAGGTTGACAGTGGCGCTTAATAAAACCAACTAGGTATCCGTTCAATAATAACTTTTGTTTGAGGGTTTCAAGTTCAGACTGTAGCGTATCGTTGGAGCAAATCTTTCTAGTGCGGTTGAATAATGTTCATACTAGGCTACGTTTGTACTAGATGGGTGCAAAACTATTAAAGTTCATGTACTGGCCCGCCCAAGTATCTTTCCAAATACTGATCGTTGGATGGTTCCATCTTCCCTTCGTCTGATCAGGACATCTAAAAAGGCAGTTGTGTTGTTACATTCATGTTGTAGGGACAGTGAGATGTTTTTGTGTGCAAGGTTCATCTGCGTGTGTAGTATTTCTGCTTGTTGTTTATCAGTGGCAACAATAATAATATCATCTACATAGCATTTGTAACACACCAAGTTATCAATGTCCAGAGATCTTTTTTCTTCTAAGTGTCCCATAAAGATGTTTGCCAGGATAGGGCCCAGCAGGCTTCCCATGGCCACTCCCCCAATCTGGCGGTAGGACTGATTGAGGAAATTGAAGCTGATATTAGATGTGCACAATAACAACAGTGTCTCCAGTTTTGAGGCAGGCAGATCCAACTTTAGATTCTTCTTTTTTATACGGCCCCGGATGATTTCAATGGTTTCTTTCAAGGGAACATTAATTAAAAGGGAGACTATATCCATTGATGCAATATGCTTTTTTGTTTAAATTCATATCCTTTAGTAGCTCTACCAGTTCAAATGTGTCGCTAAGTATATGTGGCTCAAATGATTGTCGGACTGGTTTTGGCATATCCGCTAGCCATTTAGCCATATGATGCTGAACTGAATTTACCATGGATAGAAAGGGTCTCAGTGGCACTCCATGGTTTATGTAATTTTGGGAGACCGTATAGCTGAGGTATTTGTGAGCTACGTGGGGTAAGCCTCATGAGCGGTAGCCTCATTAATAAATTTTTCATCTAAAAGTAATTTAATTTCTTTCTTTATTTTTGTTTCCATGTCGTTATTGTTGTTTACTTTCGAATCGAGCAAAAATTCCATTTGAGGCTGGTAGTCTGACTTGTTCATCACCACTACACCACTGCCTTTGTCTGGTTTTAATATTACCAGTTGATAATTTGCTTTCAGTGTTCTCAGGGCTCTAATATGCTCTTTAGTTAAAGGACATTCCTGTTTTGATTGGACTGTATGATACTGGTGCTTCGAAATCCACAAATTTTGCTTTTAGCCATCCAACTGAATCGGCGGAGGATGGTTTCTAACGTTGAAAGCTGGTCAAAAAACATTTCAGTTTGAACCTGTGACTCAATCGGATTTATTCTTTGTGGTTGTATGCAAAACTTCAATCCGTAAGCAAGAGCCTTAGTTTGTATTGTACTTAGTGGGAACGATGAGAGATTTATCACATGTTTCTCAGGATTTTCAATTAACGAAGTAAAAATCCTTTCAGAGCTCAGTGACTTTTTTAGGCGGCTGTTTTATAATAATGAATATTTGTTAATGGACATCAAGAAATATTAACTCTAAAGTAGACCGCTAAAGAATTTATGACCTACTAAATGTTTCCATTCCTTGTGACATGCATGTTTTGCAACTTTATGCAGATGTCCTTCGGCTCAGCTGTAAGGTCAAAGGCCAGACTATCATTTAAAGGTCAAGGAGAAAAAGATGAGAAAACAGCAAATGGATTCCGGAGAAGTTCCCATAATTCTGTCACAGTAAGTAGAAAATCAATATTTGATAAATAGAATAAACAAATGAACTTTTTAAGAATAGTCAAAGATCAACTTTGATCAGCACGAGTGCTTGGGCTGCCACTATTACAGAAGAGTCTAGAAGTTAGACAGCAAACCTAGAATTGAAAGGTATACTAGTAGGTTCCATCTGCTTCAATTAGAAGCATTATTGTTGTGCGACTCAGAAGTAACTTGATATTTAACTAGCATTCAGTTATCACAGTGAGCAGTTTAGGAAAAAAAGACAGTTTTTGGTGGCTCTAAGATAGTGGTAAGAAAGTAGCACTGTGGAAGAGACCGGGGCCTTCCCAAATCAAATTTATTCCCATTATTAACACTGAACAACATTGCAGCGCATCTTTGTTGTGGAAATGGCACAAATTATAACTATTGTTAAGCCTCACCTACTGGTTAGAAAACTAGGCTTTTAAACCGGAGATCCTTGTTTGAATCCTCCGTAAGGTTGGGGATATTTTTCTGTCAAGAGCACTCTGTGGCAACATGTGGCAAATCCTCAGGCTCAAAGACCCCCCGTCCTGCCTCCACCGCACAAATGGTAAATACAGACAGTAGTGGACGTTTTGGCAGATAGGCACTACTGACTGCACTCACCTTTAAAAAGTTACTCTGCTCTCCTAATGTATTTTCCCTATACTGGGTTTTTGCTGATATTTTAATTGTTTTTTTTTTTTTTTTTTTTTTATCACCAAGTAAAATTTCATTTTCATCTCACAATGTACAGCAGACCACTTAGGGCAATCTTAGATGTGGCTAATTTATGTTGTGAATAAAAATGTTTTTATCCCCAGCAGTGTTTCTTTTTTGTCTTCGTAAAAATGTCTAGTTAAGCGGAATACAATTATCACAAATTTTTGAATAAGCTGAATAATTAAAATGTGTTTCAAGTATACAATGTGATCTGCTTAAGGTGAAAAATGTTCAAGTACCTGGACATTTGTACAACTTTGAAACTATTTTTGGAAATTGCATTCTACATGGGTGTTATAATTTGAGGTATCTTCCCTCTACATTAACAATGTTTGGTGAAATTATATAAATCTGTGTCAATCAATCGATTAGTTCATCCTAACTGAGACTCCCATCTGAAGGTTTACCATAATGTCCTAGGATTTGAAAAAATCTCATAGCGGACCAACAAGGCAGTTTCTAGATCAGTGGTTCTCAACCTTTTTAATACCAAGACCCTATAATACAATTCAACATGTTGTGGCCCCAACTCCCCCTCCTCTCCCCCCCCCCATCCCTGAAGCATATAGTTTTATTTTTGTTGCTACTTCATAACCTGAGTGAATATGTGTTTTCCTATGGTCTTAGGTGGCCCCTGTGAAAGGGTCGTTTGACCACAAAAGGGTTGTGATCCACAGGTTGAGAACCACTGTCCTAGATCAACCTCCAATACAATGTTGATTAGGGCACCTGTAATGATTACATTAGCCAGCTATAACCGACAGGCCTGTGCATGTAAAGACTGATCTTTGTGACACATCTGCCGTATTCAAGGCTGATTCATTATTGTATTGTACGAAGTAATGCATTCCCATATATTGGAACTCTTATCTGGATAAGAGGAATTTCTGATAAGAAGAACTATTTACAGGGTCCCTGGTGAGTTCTCCTTAACAGGTTTGCACTGCATTAATTCCAATTACTATCTTTTTGTATGTTGTGTTTTGTTCTTATTTGCTGAGGAAGAGTTGTTGCTGTAACATCTTTTGATAGTTTAAGCTAATTGGTGCAGCACAGCTAGGTTAAATGTTTTTAGTTTAAACTAATAAGGTACACATAAACATTAGCTAAATGTTATTAAAATTAAAACGAATAAGGTACACATAAACATAGGCTAGATGTTATCAAAGTTAAACAAATAAGGTGCACATGAACATAAGCTAGATGCTATCAAAGTTAAACAAATAAGGTGCACATGAACATAAGCTAGATGTTATCAAAGTTAAACAAATAAGGTACACATGAACATTAGCTAGATGTTATCAAAGTTAAACTAATAAGGTGCACATGAACATTAGCTAGATGTTATCAAAGTTAAACTAATAAGGTGCACATGAACATAAGCTAGATGAC